GCCGCTGCCACACGTGAGGCGTCTGGTCCCGGCCGCCGCCTCAGGGCCAGGGGCGCTCCACGTGCAGCCGCGGGGCCTGTCGGGTAACGGCCGTCAGTGGCCCGCCTACTGCCCTCTGGGGCGCTCCCATTGGTCGGCTCGAACAGGGGCGGAGCGGTGATTGGCCCGGTCTGAGGGCGCGAAAGCGAGAACCGGGTCGACGGCCGGGACTCTGCATTGGCCGCGCGCGGGCGGGAGGCGAGCTTAGGGAGGCGGGCTTGGCTCGCAGCGACGCCCCTGGAAGCTTTCCCTGCTTTGCAGTCTGCGACCCCCGACCCTTGTCTGGGCAGTGCGACTGTGCAAAACCCCTGGAGGAAAAAGCTGGGCGGTGCGCCCCCTGGTTTGGGCCCAGCGGCCGCCGGGGGACGGCCCCGCCGGCTGCCCTCCTTGGTCAGGCTGTTCCCCGCCAGTGTCCCGTCTTTAACACAGTGTGTCGTCCCTCGGACAGGCTTCCAAAAGGCCGTTAGCGCAGCAGGGCTGGGGAGAGAAAACAGGCATTTACTCGCCTCGGGGGCACAATTTAAGGGGGCACCGGAAAGCTCAGTAATCAAGATAAATGATATTTTAATGCAGTTGTTTAAGGAAATTAAAAGCAATAAAAAAAAAATCCAAGATGAACAAGATATCCAAATCAATACTCCTAAATTTTCCCTTTGGCTCAGACTCTCTTAACATGGCTTCTCAAGGCATTGTTATTCTGTCTTTAAAATGTGCATATTTTCCCCATCAAGTTTGATTTTTACTTAAGGCATTTGTTTAAAATCACTTAAGATTGCATTAAAATCTTAGTTTTTTGACACCATTTCCAGATATTCCACACTAGCCTTGGGGCAGTGGGATCCTTGCTTCTGGTGGTATCTGCGTGAAGCCTGCATCTCTGCCACACCCGGACTTAGATTTGGGGCTTATATTGTTTTGACGTGAAGTTTTACATTTTAAAGAAATCTGTCCGTCTCTTTGTGATTTAATGCAGTCATTTTAACCTATTCCAAGTTGAGAATAACGGCATTTACATAATCGTTTTTACTTGCCTTTTATGATTTGATTATTTTAACATATTATTTATTGTTCATAACTTAAATATTTTAATCTTATTATAGTCACATGTATTTCATGTAGAAAATGCAGAAAACTGTAAAGAAGAAAATAGAAAGTCCCTGTAATCGTTCTCACAGAGCCTCACTCTGGATGTTTTTGTGGAGCTCATCAGGATCTTCTCCCATGTGAACTTTGATGTCCTTATGCATATTCACCTCTCTATTCAGGAGCTGCTAACAATTTTTTTTTATTCCACAAACACCTGCTGAGGTCTTGCCGTGTATCAGGCAGGCCATGGTGTACGAAGCTTAAGACGGTTCCTCTGAAGGAAGGTACAGTCTAAATGATACCAGGGAGAAGCCATGGGGGGCTAAGACATGTGGGGCCGACTGAGATGCAGAAGAGTGGGGCACATTTGTAGGGCAGCCTTAATGGCCTGGAAGCTATACACTGGGAATTCTCAGGAAATGCAGTGGGAAAACATGGCAGAGAAGAGCAGTAGGCGCCTTTGTGAGCCAGGCTGCCTGTCCCCCTGCAGGGACCTGTCTGTCTTTTCACCTTTGTAATATCTGTAACACCTGGCAGAGGCTACTCACTGCCCCACATTGTCTTTTATCAAAATTATCAAAGACGTGAGATGGATGTTCTAAATGGATAACATAAATCAAATGCAGTTCAGAATTGCAATATTCCCTGGAATTAAGAAAAACCTGTACTATCACGGACTTAAGGAAACATTCTGAAAGGTAAGTCAGGAAATTTTTAATTCTATGAAATACAAAATTGTGTCCTATCTTCCCCTGGATGAGGAAGTGTATGATGGATTGGTTGTGTCTGTAAGGACCAGTACGAGAGGTAGAGACTAAAGGTCTGACTTCCCCAGAGACAGTGATTTGGGAAACACCACCTTCCCAGGGCTGGTGAGACAAGCACACGGAGCTCCTTTACCAGCTGAGAGGCTTCCGGCCAGTTAACTTACCTGGGCTCCAGTTTCCTCATTGTGATGTGAATTTGATAACCTCCCTCTTTAAGGTTTTCATGAAAATCAACTGAGTGAAAACATGTAAAGGCATCTCGCTGCCTGCCAGGCACGTCTAAATGACAAATGTTTGCTATTATTAGTGTCATCCGTGAGCTCTGTGGACACTTGACTGGTTAAATATGCTTGCGTTAAGATGTGGAAGGAACGTTAAGGCTAAGACAATGAAGTCAACATCTCTCTCTTGCTGGCTGGAGGGACAGTGCGGGATATAGGGCTTCCCCTTCTGGTTCCTTCCGCTCCTCCTCGTCCACAGGGCACCTGTGGTGGGCAATTCAGTTCACCCGCGTCACCCTCTACCAACATTTCCAGTCCTGGCCCAAGTTTTCCTACCTGCTGGCGTCAGCCCTCTGCCACCCAACTTGTCTGCCCCCTAGTGGGTAGTGGCCCCTATCTGCCAGTAAGGTCTCAGTCCCAGTTTGTCCCATTCTTGGGTTTCTTTAGATCCTGTTTCATCCTTAAGTACTTACTCCTCTCTTACAGTTTAATGTATATATTACATTTTTCCTGTTCAAATTCCTGGGTGGTTTTGTTTTTGGACTTGGACCCTGTCTGATATATTGCATTCTTTTTTTTTTAAATTGAAGAGTAGTTGATTTACAATGCTGTGTTCATTTCTGCTCTACAACAGAGCGATCCAGTTAGAATATAAAAAAGAACATACATATTGCCCTCTTGAAAGAACTTGAAATGGTTAACACTCACTAAGTAGAATTTCAAACTTAGAAGTCTTTTGAAATCAACCATCCTAAAATTTGTTCTAACAAATCTTCAGTAAATATAAACACCACTTTGCTGTGGGGAGTGGGTGCTTTCATGGGATCAGTGCAGAGTAGGTTTCTATGTAAAAATGTTGGTTTTGAATATGCAGCAGCTATAGGTCTGTGGGCACTGATGTGTTTGGATGAGTGACTGGACAGTTTTCTCTATGGAATAATCAAGACTAAGAAGATCTGAACTGTAAAATATCCTCGGCACAAAGAGACCGAGTTGCTCTTACCAATAAAACGTAGCCTCGTGTATCCCAGATCCAGACAGTGCTGGGGGACGGACCTTCGTGACTTCTAGCACTAGGCTGGGAATGTCTCCTTAATTACATACACCCAGCTCAAGTCCCTACACCAGCATTCTCCACCTGTCCACATGAGGCGCAGTTATGGGTGATATTGTCTTGTTTTGTTCTTGCTGATATCCTGAAAAGCCTGCTGAACCAGCTTTATTTAAAACACAACCTATACAAAGAGTAATTAAAAATCAGTAAGTAGCCAAACTTCATCTACTTTTGTCCTTGAAGAGATCTGAGTTGTCTCCGCTTCTACACTTTACTTTTCACTTTGAGTGCGGATTCTTATAAGTGTTTTGTTCTTACTCATTGTGAATATTAGTTCTTTTTTAAACAGGGAAAGAAAATTGAATTGATTTGATATGCTAACAAAATAAAAAGATGACCCAAAGTATACAGAACAATTCATATGAAATAGTTAAAGATCTTTCTCAGTAGGGGAAAAAAACACATTGCTAAAGTCTTTCAACATTTCATTTTTTAATTTTTCTAATAGTACATTCTTTAAAAGAAGTTAACAACTTCAATCCCAAATATAAGGATTCAATAATGCGAATGAAAAGCTGTCATTTTCAGAGAAGCTGTTGCCTAATTACCCTGGAAAAAAAGTATTCTTTTGATTGAACTGATGCAAAAATCCCTTAGAAAAGCTTCATTGTTGCCTGTAAAGAGTCTTCTTAAGGTCACTTTTACTTCTAGACCATCCCCTTGTTTCTAGTGATAGAGTTTTGCTTGGTAATGGCTTGTGGTTCCACAGTGTTTTTTGTGTATGAAAAGCGTAGACTAAAGAGATACTACTGAAGGCGCTCAAATTGTAGATTCTGCCATGAAAGGAAGTCCCAACACTGTAACATTTCCCCTTAATTTTCAGCAAGACACAGGAAAAGAAAACTCAAGTCCCACTTGAATCTTTGATCACCACGTTTACGGCATTAAGAGGCTGCCTCCCTGCTGGGAACACAGCTCCCACTGCCCAGTGTGCTTATCGAATGGCCTGCGGGTTGGGGGCAGCCGCCCCAGCCCGGGTCGAAGTCTGCAGACAGAGGCATCCGGTGGCTGCTGGGGCTTCTGACGTGATCCTGCCTGCTTGGGGGGGCACGGAAGAGCCGGGTGCTCCCCGGGGGTGTTTCCTCAGAAGCAGGGCAAGCAGCAGCGCTCTCAGACAGCAACAGAAAAGCCTACAGAACAATGCTCCCCATTCACCCATCTGTTTCCAGTTCATAACTGGCGTTTACTGCTGGGACAAGAGCACACTTCTATTTGCTTTCATTTTTTTCCAGACGCTTCACTAAGTGGCCGTTGCTCACCTCGAGCTCTTCTGTCTTGTCCAACGCTGAGCGAAGCTGGAAATAAAGACGAAAGGCAGTGAGCTCCGATTCCAATTCTACCGAAAATGACAATGACGACCTGCACCTACTGATATCCTAAAAACGCACATACCTATGTGTGTATATACATATAATTCTTAAAAAGCAACACAAGGCCCAAGATTCTGGCCTCATGAGTGACTAGGGAAACCTCCTCCTCTGAAACAACTAGACCCCAGACATGGCACAGTCTTGGGGGTCCCGATGGCCTCATAGAGGTAAGAGAGGCAAACATCAAAAAGACAAGAGCTGAGCCAGGCCAGCTGGAGGAGGTGGTCCCCACAGCCCTGGGCAGCTGGAAACCAATGCAGGAATGCCTGAGGCCAAGAGGGTCACACCCTGGAGCCTGGACCACAGAGCCTGGGAGTCACAGCAGAAGCCACGTCAGCAGGGAGCTGCCTGGACCAGCAGGTGGCAAAGCAGAGAGGAGGTGCCCTAAGGTGGATGTTTAACAGCCATGTGGTTGTGGAGTTGGGCATCATCAGAACAGAGTCTGCGGCTCTGTTTCTCACCCAAAACCCTCACGGAGGGTGGGTGGGGTCCTGAGGCGAGTGAAAGCCCCCTGCCCTGTCTTTCACCAGCAGAGGCAGAGGCAGAAGCAGAAGCAAGCCCTCTTTGTGGAAATCCCCCAGGTCAGGTCTGGAGTATTCCTACAAAGGAAAATCAAGCATAACCTCATGAAACACCAAACACACGACAGGACAAACCGTTTGAGTCAACAGAAGCAATAGGCAACAGAACTAGACCCTATGGACTGAAGGCGATTTTGTTGTCAGTGTGGAAAACAGAACAGCTGTGTATGAAATCTTCAAAGAAATAAGGAAAGGAAAGTACATAAATTGAAACAAAAACAAAGTAATGTACACCACCATACAACAAGAAGCCATCAGGAGTGAGCACATTTTAAAAAAACAAAAGAGGGTGGACTAGAAGATCTATGCAAAAACATTACACAACAGAGAGGTAAGCAGACGGGAAGGTGAAAAGACAGATGGTAGAGAAATGCAGAGGGTCAATGAGGAGGTCTGATGCCGTCTCATCAGAGTCCCAGGGAGAAGGTGACTAGGGAAGAGGAGTTACTTAAGGAGATCAGGGTTGAAAATTTTCCAAATCTGATTTAGAAAAAAGGCTTCACGATCAAAGAAACACAACATGTTCTAGGCAGAACAGCAGTAAATGCACATGTAACACATTAGAGTGAAACCATAGAAAAATCAAAGGCAAAAAGAACTGCAGAGGGAAGAAAATCACCTAAAAAAGGCCCGCAGTCAGGGCGACAGGCTTCTCAGCAGAAGTGGGAGACGGTGGCATAACAGTTACAATCACCGTAGAAAAAGCCCGACAGTGATTCTGGCCCTGAGCTCCTAACTGGCCAAACTATGACCTCCTTCATGATGTGAGCGTGGCCCTCAGAGTGGTCTGGGATGGTGATGTGTCAAGGAATAATAATCCAGCATATTTCCTGGCGCTCAATCCTCCTTCTGCTCTCCCAACTAGAATATCCTTACCCATTCTTTTCCTAGAAATAGCCTAGAAAATGTACCTCTCTTTGAAGTTTCCGTTTTTCAGCCTTAAGTTCATCTTCTATTTTTTCAGCATTTTCAGCAGCCAATTTATAACGTGATACTTGACTTTCTAACCTTATTACCTAAAAGGAAAGGAAAAACCATCTGTATAAATTGATAGGCCTGTTTTCTTGCCCCAGTTGCTTTATTATATTTGAGATCAAAGGATCTAATTTAATAAAATGGGAGAAAACACTGTGACAATAATTATGATCTACCATTTTGGGCTATTACAGAGGTTCTAGCCAAGCAAGCTATTTGTTCATATTTCCGAGCAAACCCAGGACTGACACTTATTAGGGACTCATTTCCTCTCTGACTCTAGTCCCAAAGTGTGGTTCCCATTGTGCTGACCCAGTGACACTATCTCTCCCCTCTGTGGGACGATCCTGCAGAATGATGCTGTCGAGGTGATGATTTCATGAGGACCTCAGCTCCAGTTTGATCTCTCCCAGGGGCGGTGGGGTGGGGAAGCAGGAGAGGGAGGAGAGAGGCAAGGGGCTCAGAGAGAGGGGTGACAGAAGGTGGCTATGAGGTGGCCCAGGCTCTGAGGTGAAGGAGGAGCAGCTAAGCTCGCTGGAGATGGGCATGCTTCAGGAAATGCATCACTTTCTAGGGGCTCTCCTCATTTTGTTTCATTGAAGTGTAGTCAGTTTACAAAGTCGTGTTAATTTCTGGTGAAAAGCATAGTGATTCAGTTCTACATATATATACATATATTCCTTTTCACATTGTTTTTCATTATAGGCCATTACAAGGTATTGAATATAGTTCCCTGTGCTATACAGTAGGACCTTGTTGTTTATCTATTTTTTTAATCTATTTTGTATATAGTAGTATCTGCAAATCCCAGACTCCCAATTTATCCCTCCACCTCTGCTTTCCTCTTTGGTAACCATAAGTTTGTTTTCTATGTCTGTGAGTCACTTTCTGTTTTGTAAATAAGTTCATTTGTCTCATTTTTTTTTAGATTCCAGCATATGAGTGATATCATATGGTATTTGTCTTTCTCTTTCTGGCTTACTTCACTTAGTATGACCATCTCCAAGTCCATCCATATTGCTGAAAATGGCATTATTTTATTCTTTTTTATGACTGAGTAGTATTCCATTGTATAAATATACCACAACTTCTTTATCCAGTCATCTGTTGATGGACATTTGGGTTGTTTCCATGTCTCGGCTATTGTAAATAATGCTGCTGTGAACATTTTCTTCTTTTTGCTTCTACAAAAATTCCAAACAGTTCCAGCCACAGATACCCACAATGGAGGGGGTTTCCTCTCTCCCTTTGGTTAGGACACAATTTGGCCTGGAGACCTAGAGGCATGAGCTCCCCAAATCTAGGGACCAGAGTGGGCAGCCTGGCTGGGAGGGAAAGAGAAAATTCAGGCGAGAAGGATGTCCCCGTGGGAAGTGTTTTTTAATTAACCAAATTGTTTTTAAATAGCAAACTTTCAAAAAAACACCCTAACCGCATTAAGTACTTTCTATGACTAACCTTGTTTATGGAGGATTAGTATTGGTTATAATAACCCAGATCCTACTAATGACCTTTCCCTCCCTCTGCTCTTTCCTTGCAGGAAACACACGGAGAGACTTGCTGCCTTGTTTATCCCCGCTCAGGACCTTTTTTGGTTCTAAAATTCTCTGCTTCTTTTTGTCCTCAGCCTTTCAGGGTGAGTTCTTCCTCAGTTAACTTCAGTTAACCATCAGTTTGGCCACCTGTTATTGCTTAAAAGTGTGCACGTACATTTTGTTCTAATGCAGTTATCTCTTGCTCAGATTTTGCAAGTTTAAATTTGAGGTCGCTGATCTGTCTGTTGGCATCCCCTAAAGGTTGAAAGAGAAGGAAAATCTGTTAAGCTCTTGGGCTTCGAAATTGTTAAAACAATAGTTACTGGGACCCAAGTCCTTACTTATAATCGTCCTGCAAATCTGTAAGTCCTGGTCTGTGGCCCCCACCGCTCTCAGAGCTGAGACAGGAGGGGGTGATCTCTCTCCGAGGCCCCCGCTGGGAGCGGGGACATGCAGAGCGAAGAAGATAAAGAAATGGTGGGGGAAGGAGAGGTGGGGCGAGAGAGACTGGGTGCACTTTTACCCCCTTAAGCCTCTTTCTAGTTTACTGGCACAGAAAAATACCTTCCAGTCTTCCCATACAATCAGCAGACCCACACACAGCTGTATCCTGCGTAGTAAGTGTGGTTTCTAGCAGCCGTTACATGGCGGCATCTGGGTGCACATTTTGGGGCACTTGTTCTGTTCCTTAGGCTCAGACAGAAACACCCTTGCCCACTGGCCCATCCTTGTTCTCGCCCACAAAGAAACAGATTTGTGCTTTTGTACTCAAGGGTTTTTGAGGGGACGTGGGGGAACACCGGGCATTCTTTGCCCTGATAGATTTTTTTCCTCCCCCACAAGGACAGTAAAAACGGCACGTGTCACAGGGTTCACGTCTACACCGGGGTTGACATTTACTTTGTAGGTCCATCACGTGCATGTCCGTCCCATTTTCTAAGACAACATCTTCAGGGCGCAGATTGTCTAGTCTGATGCTCTTCTGTCTCTCTTCCAGCTGCCCTTTGAGTTTCTTAATCTGAAAACACCCACCAATAAAGGATGTTAATTTCTCCATTCCAAGTGAGACCAGAGCCTCTCCAAAAGGAAGCAGCATGTAAGGTGAGAACCCACACCCCAAAGTACAATCCAATGTTGCCTTGCAGTTACTGTGTGTGTCTCTAGGGGCCAGAGAGACAGGGGTCACATAATCAGGCAGGGGAGAAATGGAGTAAAACGTTAAGTCCAGCAGGAAGATGGAGGTCCCTCCTCTTTCGTAGGGGAACAAACCCAGACAGATAAATGGAACTCTTCCTTCCAGTTAGTACTCTTCTTAGAAAGCAATAGTACAGTGGATGAAAATGGAATTATATTTACAAAATCAGGCATGAATTATTTTGTAACTTCGGGCAAGAATTTATTTCTAAGGGTGAAATTTCTCTTATATTCAGGAGGAGATGTTCCATACAATAGTTTGAATGATTACCTTTATTAAAAACTTTTTTTCAATTTTGGGAGGAGGTAATTAGGTTTTATTTATTTATTTTATTTAAATGGAGGCACTGGGGGTTGAACCCAGGCCCTCCGGCATCCTAAGCATGCACTCCACCCCTGAGCTACACCCTCCCCCCTTTAGAAAGGTCACAAGTCAGTGCACTAGTCAGCTTTGTTCTATTCACTAAGAAGCCAGGAAGGGCAGCCTGGAGTCTCGCAGGCACAGAAATACTGTCCCTAGCAGAGCCCTGGGCCTCCGTACAGAACCCAGTCAGGCTGTAGATTTGCCTCCTTCAGGGAGTCGGCCTCTACAGAGCTTTCTTCTCTCTGAGAGACACAAACGTATAGTAGTTTAACAGCCGTGATGGTAGAATTTTCTGGTATGTCACGGGGCATCTCCCGGCCCTAGTCCTGTCAACCTCCGCGCACCTGTGGGAAGTCCGGGCCCACACCCACCGCCAGGGGCGGAGCAGACCCCCCAAAGACACAGACTGTCCGTGCGGGCTGCTTTGAGAAAACAAGTACAGAATGACCATGGACATCTGTTTTAAAAGATCACAGGCACTTCAAGAGAACCCTCTCACCATGGTTAGTGCTCTCCCCCAAGTTTGAGCAGTATCTTCAACTCTTAGAAAAAGTGAGGCAAATACCTTTGCTTGGGTGCTTATGAGGAAAAATGAGAGAAAATGAGCTTCTTTAAAAAGTAACTGAAATAACTGAATAACTACCCTGCATACGGGAAAGACCAAATAGGACAAGCGCTTAGCATTCCTTGAGGTAGGAGAGGCCAGCGAAGGGGAACGGCAGTGAGAACAACTTTGATCAGCTACAACAAGGAAACAGCTGCTGGAAAGCGGCGCTGACCCCTGAGAGATCAGAGCTGACTCTCCTGGGCCAGCCGAAGAGGGGTGGTGTTGGACGGACTCGGGAACCCCCTCCTCAGAGATTAATCTAGGCCTTCTACACAAGCTTTTATGTTGAGCCACAACTCACGCAGAGTGTACCAAATTCAGACCACAGCCTTGAATCTCTGAGACATCCTCTCCAAACCTCATCTGATTGCTGACACTTTACTTGGACAAAAATATGAAGAGCTCTGGTTGGCTTGACTATTATTTTCAGGCACAATGCATTAGGGGTTTCCTGATGAAGCAGGAAGGAAAAAAATGGGAAGGTTCCCGGTTTTAGGTGCCCTGTTCCAGAACGCGTAAAGTAATAAAAAGATGGTTACCTGTTCCAATAAGCATTCCCGTTCATCGATAAGCTTTTTCAACCTAATATCTAAAGAAATCAGAAAGATACAGGTTTAGGCGACCTCGTGGACTGCCCCTTTCAGCAGACAGCTAAACTGAAGAATGAGCATTGGGGTTAGTGAACTGATGATGAAGGTAGTAAGCACGTACCACAGTGAATGAGGCCACAGACAGGACTGGGGAGGAATTCAGCCAGGGGAGGTGGTGCAGGGCCAACCGCCCACAACATGCTTGTCTCCTCAGGGCAGCATCCGGCTGCATGCAAACGGGCTAATCTTCTACTCTGGGTTAGCATGCAAGAGCTCTAGGGCCAAACCACACTGCAACACAAAATCTCACAGGCTTTATGGTTTCACGTCATTAGCAAGGTACAGACACAGGGAGAATCGCGATGAAATGGCACCAGTGTCTTCGTTAGTCTTGGCTTTCCAAGTTCCCAGCCCAGAAGTGTTTACCTTTTCTCATTTCTCTCAAAGACCCACCAAGGGCAGAGTTCTGACTCTAGGCTTATGAATCCTAAGTGTGCTGACAATACACCTGCAGACCCACCTGTCAAGAGCTGTCCCTCTTCTGAGGAAGACGGCAGCAGTAGCCGAGGTCCTGTGATTCCTCCCACCCCGATACAGTGGCTTACATATACATAAGCACCTAGAAGTCCCCCAGACATCTCTCTAATGGGGTGCTGAGTGAGACAAACTCGAGAGTACAGAGAGGGATACGTAGACCTGGGGAGGATTTTAGGGGAAAAATCCTGCATCAGTTTCCAGGCAAAGTCAGGATGATGTGATGGTGATCGATGCTAACACATGCTGTGCCCTGGCTGTGGGCCGGGCTCTGTCCAGCAGCTCACACCACCCCCGGTGACGCCCACAGGTGGGCACTGCTACCACGCCCCTCTTCCACAGGTGAGGACCCGGCCCCAAAGCCTTCCCTAGGCCCCCAGGGCTGCACCCTTCACCACTGCACTCACTCTTTCCTGGATCTAAACAGACCTCTGAGTCAGATTGGACTGGCCTGAGGCCCTTCCTCCTGAGGGGACAGTGCTCTCACACTGCCCAGCTCTGGATCAGCTACGTGAAACGGAAATAACTCATACACAGTGCACCTTTGTTGTCATAAAAAAAATCATCTATTCACGTCCTAATCCAAGTTACATGCTTTTCTCCATAATCGTTTTTCCAAACACCCTAAGCTGCTATTTTGAAAGACACAATTACAAAATCAATGAAACCAGAAAATGTCATGCATAAGATAAATGAGTTCCATTTTAATTTACATACAAATTGCTTCTGACAGCTGTTTCATTGTCCCTTCCATAAACCTACCCAACATTAAAACAATTTTTGTCGTTATAAACCTGCCTCTTATTCAGTATCACTTTTTATTTTATCTTATATATTTTACATTCCTACATACAAAAACCACAGGCATCATAAGACGTACTGAATATATTAGAAGGAATATATGAGAAAGATCTCGAAGCACATATATATATATTTACAATCTTTTTCTATTAGAAGACCTCAAATATCTTGGATAGCAAGTAAAAAACAAATATTAAAATGTAATAATAGCGCTAGCAAAAAACCGAAAATAAAACACGGGTAATCTGGTCTTTAGTCTTAAGGTGAAAATACGAAAAACGGAGAGAGAGAAATGAAACTTTTAAGGAGGAGGCATTTTCAAAGCAGAATTGGAGAAGATTAAATAGTTTCAAGAAACTGGGAAAAAAAGTAAAATTATTTAATACAAAGAAAACGAGAACTGAAATAAGTCAGACAAACACTGTTAGCACTTAAAAATAAGACAAATGAATATTTATATAATATGTAGATAGATAATGAAACAGAAACAGACTCACAGATGGTAACCAGTGATTACCAGGAGGGAGAAGGCAGGCAGGAAGGGCAGAATGTGGGTGGAGGGTTAGAGTAAGAGGTACAAGCTACCAAGTTTAAGAGAAGTGAGCTGCAAGGATATACCGAACAGCACAGGGAATATAGTTGACATTTGATAATAACGTTAAATATAATATAATCTAAAAAATACCGAAAGGCTATGTTATGAACCTGAAACAAACATAATTTTATAAATCAACTATACATCAACAAAAAAATTTTAAAAACGAGTATTGCTTTTTTGCAGTTTTAAAAATCAACAGGTCTCATCTGTGAAGTGAGCAGTGGTGCATCATGGGTAATGACTGTGACACCAACAAGTGTCGTGAACCTCTCCTCACTGGGCAGCCTTGTTCATCACTGCTTTCCAACGCCCAGATTATAAGCATTAAAGACAATGCAGTCACAATGCCTCCAACTCAGAGTTTTCTTTCATGTTGGGAAGTTAACATGAATTGGCAATTAAAAAGTTATTTTAGTGTACTGTTAAAGGGTGAAACAAGAAACCAAGTAGGGTGGCAGTGAGACAGTCACGGGGCCAGCAAGCAGGCACTGGGGCCCCCGCCCCGCTCCTGTCTGCCCTTCCTTGGCTTGCAGGCTGTGACCACAGCTGTCCAGGCTGCAGCAAGGTCAACCACTGGCGACAACCAGCCACCCAGCACTAACTCTCTTTAGTGCTGTACCTGGGTCTGATCCTCACCACCACTCTAACCCCAACCTCTGAGAGTAAAATGAGGCACAGTGAGGCTAAGTAGCTTGCTCTTACTAATGAACTATCAAGAATCTAATTTCCCTTCTGTGGGTTGATCTCAACCATCCCGGGCCTCAGTCTTCCTCTCCCCCCTGCAGAGGAAGGTCACCTTCCCTCCACACTGGCAAAGATAATGAACGCAGGACCGAGGTCTCAAGAAATCCCCTGAGGAGGTACGGCCCTCTCTCCGCCCCTACCTTGCACTGGCTCAGCGTGATTTTAGCTCACGTGGTCAGTTTGCACTTTCCCCAGGTGGCGCCCGCGCCAGGGTTGCACCTCCTTCCTGTAAGAGGAAGAACGGGGCGGGCTGCTGAGGACGGTTCTCTTCCTGCTGTTTATGGCGCCCAAGAGGCCTGTACAGAGGGGAGCCGTCCGCACCAGCCGCTGCTGGTCTCGGTCCAGCGGGACAGCTGAAGCCTTTCACACCTTGAAAAATACATATGTCTTCAACGTAAGGGGGCAGAAGGGCTGAAAGGGTTTTCCTGCTGAAAGACAGTTTTCTCTGTATCAGATCACCACGCTGGATGAGCATGTATTCTGAACATAACACACTCACAAACACCTCTGGAGCGTGGACATTTGGAACGACCCTTACTGCTGTGTTCCCTTCAGTGGCTGTGGCGGCACGTTGTACAAGGCGGTCTCCTACGGAAGGAGTCTATCAATACAAACAGGAACCCTAAACTGAGCTCCCAGAAGCAGTGTTCCAGGGTCCCAGTGACGGTGGGAATTTAAATGTCAGGTCAGATTTTCCACTAACTGGAAGTACTCAACATTCCAGAAAGTAGTCAATGTAATACAGCTCATTCTTGAGCACTCTTTTAAAAATCTTTATTGCTTCCCAACCTTTGTATGTTATAAAATAGCCTGTAATTCAGAATTCTCAGTTACCTTTCCCTGTTTTCTGTATGAACCCATAATTATACTTACTTACACTTTTGAAGGAAGATTAACATTTTACATACAGCCACCACGGTCTGGTTTGGACCTGAAAAATATCCCCCCATTTAAGAGTATCAGGGGCCAGTGCTTTCCTCTGTTCTGCATCGGAGTGACACCACAGTGGTCCAGGTCCCTCTGGGGACGTGGCTGAAGGCAACCTTTTGACTCTTTTCTGAGTCTGAAACTTTTGACTTATATCCTTCCATACCTTCCTACACCGAATGTACCAAAGACAACCATTTCCTGATCATTCAAGGGCCTTCATGTGCACGTTAACTACTGGGCGGGGCTAGAACATCATTTCGCCCTCGGAGCCGAGTAACTAGTGTTCATAATGAAGGCTCTTAGATGATCTAGAAATGATGTGGCTCTTCAGAATCTTTATCTCCTTTCTTTGTTCACTTCCCAGTTCTCAGCAGTTGCTCCCACAAAAGGCTGGGTCCCCTGTGCTTGTTCACGGGCACAGCAACTTCCTTACATGAAGCGACCAACATATTTACTGATTAAACGAAGGACTGAACAGTTGAGAAGGCTGGCTGGCTGGCTTGAGGGATGTGAAGTACATGAGCATGCCCTAAATCTGCTGGTGAGTAACACGGGAAAGAGACGAAAGAACTTAAAATGGTTTGATGATCTCACCACTTGGTTGGTGAATCACTTCCCCAGAGGCCTTTGAAAAGAGGAATGGGAGCTATTTCCTGTTGCACAGCCCAATATGAATGCAACTTCTCTAAAGTCAGAGGCATCAACTGAAGCCACGCGAAGCGCTCTGCAGCCCTCGGACGTGCCTCTCAGGCGGGACCATGGTCCTCTACTGACATGGCGCAAGCAGAGAGAGCTGATCAGCCTCATTATCTCTGTGTCAGGACATTTATGCAGAAATAGTCAATATTTATTTGATATTTTCAGTATACTCTTCAAAACACTCAAAGTATTGGCACACGTGAGCAGAGCAACAGAATGGAGACCTTTCTCAGCTGGGCTCCTCATCAGAACCACAGACCACAGTAGATTCTAGGAGGAAAGATCTTAATTTTCTCAAGGATGGGCCAACACTAGCCCCGGTCTAGATGCCAAGAGAGAAGTTATTCATTTCTGACAAATGGGACGTTCACAGAACCCCAACTGGGAATTAGCCACCAAAAGTAGACACCACTGTAAAGGTCTTACGTTAGCCACAGTCAGAATTCAAGCAGCACAAAGAGCAAAATCACAGGCTTGTAAAATTATAAAATGCTTTTATTTCAGTTACATAATAACATGTTTGCATCAAATGTTGAGGTTTTGGTCTTTTTTGCATTTAATTATATATCATGTGACAATACTATGAATTCAAGTGATCTCGTGAAGTATCAACAGCATTCACACTGTACAGTCCCTTGTAATTTTAATATTTTACAATTTTTTAAAATCTGACTTTACAACTATTTTTTTTAA